GTGGAATTCAAAGCATCTTCTGATGTCACTCACCTCTAGGAAAAATCCCTCGACCAAAGGCACAGTGCCTGGGTTCTGATTCTTCTTGAGAAATGTTTCTTTCTGATGCAGCATGAAGACCTGGAGGTAAGATAGTGAGGGTCTTACTTTAGTGGGGGGAGGGAGCAGAGAAAGCCCTAGCCTGTGTCATCAAGTCTATATGCTTCCTCTGATGTTCTTAGGGTACCATCAATCAAATAAAATCCAGGTCATCTTGTCCTGCCAACTAGACATGCCCAAATAGTACACTGTTTAGGCAGTTGCTCTGGGACCCTCACTATTCATTTATGTCATTAATATAAAGAAAATGACCTACCCTAGGGTTTGTGGGGTTTTTTTTTTTGACACTTTCAAAATATAATGTAACCTGTAAGAGAGGACAGGCAAAAATTATAGTCACCTCTTTAGAAATTCACTGGGGCCCTTGATGAAGTAAGAATAATTTTGCTGAAAAATAAAACAAAATTTGTAGATGTATTCATAGAAACAATTTTGTTGTATCTAACATGAATGAACAATTTAATGAGAATTTCTAGTGATGAGGAAAAATTTCAGAAGTAGCCAGGCTGTTCTCTTGAGCCCCAGAATGATAGGTTCTTGAAGTTGAGAAATAGGGACAGAAAGACAAGCACTATAGTTCAGAGGGGTCATGCATTCAGCCTGTGTGCCAGGGCTTCTGCCTCTTCTGATTTTTTTCTAAGTTAGATAGCTGACTTCAATGATTTGCCAGAAAGACTATTTCTCCAACCATTCTTCATTTGAGTTACCTTCCTAAAGCACAATATGAATCAGTTTACTTCCCTTCTCAAAAACTTGCAAATGCCCCTTTGTCGATAGATTTCTTTTTTTTTTTTTAAGATTTATTTATTTTTTTACACAAGCACTGGGTACAGTCAGAAGCGCGGGAGGGTGAGAGAATTCACCAGAGCCAAAGCGGGAAACAGAACAGGCAGACTGATGAAATACACTGCTGAGGGGAGCAGCGGGCGGCAGGAGAGGTCTGCACGCCATGTAGGACCCTCACCGGCAGCCAGGATTAAACCGGCGCTGCAGAGGCTGCGGGCAGCTTCTCAGCCCAGCGCTCAACCGCTGTGCCACCAGGGAGGCCCTGTCTATAGATTTTTTTAAGCCTAAACCCTTCAATATACTTTGGTCATAAACAGCTTTATCAGGTTTATAATAACAATGTTAACACCTAATGGGATACCACTGCCACAGCGACCAAGAGCCTCAGATACACTGCTCTGCCACTACCCAGCTATGAGATCTAGGGCAGTTATGTAGCCTTTAAGCTCTGGTGTCCTTTGTAAAATGGCAATAGTAACAGTACCTCATTCACCTGGCTCTTGTAAAGGGTTAATGACAGCAAGTGAGTTACAGTTCCCACGACTCCACCTAATGTCATTCTAGCATATGGTCTGTTTTTTATATCGCCTATTCATTGATAGAATGTTGCCTGCATTTTTTCAGCTACACATTTCTTTTCCACACCCAGATCTTCCACTATATTCCATTTCAGAACATTGCTCTGAACTCCGCATCTGGCTTGATGCCACCTCCTCTAAACGTGTATCCACTGGCCTTTCCCCCATCTCATCATATTCCTCTCCATCGTCCTCATGTAGCTCTACAACCTTTCATTCCACCTCACATTACCACTGGTACTTCACATATTCCAGTCTCTTTTCTCCTGCATTATGTATTATCTGAGGTTAACTTTTATTTAACTTTTCTTCCATTCCTAGGAGCCACTGGATACATTTATACATGATAAATACTCCATTTGATTATAGTTATTAAAATCGACTTGTTTTATATTTCAATCCTTTTAATTTAGTCACTTTTTCCTTTGATTAATTTTATAATACAGTGTGCAAACTCTAGATGTTAATTTTTATCTCAAAATAATTTTTCCCTAAATACCTGTAGCATAATATAAAAATCCCACTGACAATTTTGTTTCTATTACATTACATTACAGAAAAATTAATCCTTGATACTTAGGAATTCTTAGCTGGGATTCTTAATGTAAATTGTTTTAACTGTAAGAATGATGTTAAAATATTATAAAAACCTTGGGAAAGAGAGCAAAAAGGCAATACTTATTCCTTCATATGAAAAATGAGTCTTTTTTCCAAGGCTTAGAAACATGTGATCTGAATCAGCAGCAGCATTTAAGACCAAAAACTTGTTAGAAATGCAGAATCTTGGGTCCATCTCAGACCAACTCAATCAGAGGATGATTGATTTGTACATTAAAAAGCACTGCCCGGAGGTACTACTGAAAATCCAACACAGCATGTTTTAGAAAGCATCTACATTCTCTGAACAAATATTTATTGAGCACCTGTTAGAAGCCAAGTATTGTGTTTTCATGTGCAAGATTTCCTCCAGGGAGGAAGAAGGAGGAGGGGGCTGTTGCCTCCTTTTAACTTTGTTTTTTTCCTTTCAAAATCACATAGTGATTGGGAAAACTTGCTGATTTCAGAGGTGCAAAACATCTCATTCTGAAGTGCTTCCACTTCTCTTGTTTTTGAGTTCTCAAACAGTGACGTCTCTCAGACTAGAGTTTTCATAGTGTGCTCACGCCTTCCATTAAAGAGATGAAAAAAATAAGGGGAAAAGAAACACTGAAATTTACATTCCACAGTTCAGAGTAAAGAACACATTTTGTTCACCTTAGGCAGGTTCCAAAATGTTTTGTGCTTGGGAATTAAAAAAAAAATCAAGTTCAAGAGAAGTCCAGAAAGGTGACATTTCAAAAGTAAACCATGAAATATTTCTTCACAGTGATTTTTCTAGCGGAAAAAAAAAAATAATGTTGTTGACTCAAGCGGCTAGGTGGCATATTCCCAATTTCTTGCAGGGTACTTGAAGCACAGAACACTATATTGAAGTGCCCTTTAAGCATCAGAAGATACATGATAAATGGTGTATATTTTATTAATCAAGGGATATTCTTGGGGAGGGGGAGGGTAATATGCAGCTCAAAAGGCTGAAAATCAGTCTTAAGTGAATATTAAGATTGGCCTGGAAGAGAACATTTTAATAAGCTGTCAAGAAAGCAATAACAGCAAGAGTTATAGATACTGAAATATGGGTGAGGTGCAGGCATAGTTGTTGAGAGTTACCTGGGAGATGGGGAGAGGCTGTTGCTGATTAAACGCCAGCTGACCTCCAGATCTGCACAGGAGCCTTCAGCAAGCTGCTGTTTACTTTCCCCACCAGCTGGAGTTACGAAGGGATTGGCGCCTCAAGCCCTCCAGGGGCCACTGTTTAGCTTGGTTTGTCTGTTGGCCAGGCCGTTCCTGTGATTATCGGTGTGCAAAGGTTTCGTCTCATCAGAGACCCTATAGTTTACCACCATGGAAAAGTACCATGAAGAGGTAGGCAACATTGGGCCTCCCCTGGTGGCGCAGCGGTTGAGCGCTGGGCTGCGAAGCTGCCCACAGTCTCTGTAGCTCCGTTTCGATCCCCAGCCGGGGAGGGTCCCGCATGGCAGACCTCTCCTGCAGCGTCTGGTGCTCCCCTCAGCAGTGTATTTCGTCAGCCTGCTCTGTTCCCTGCTCTGGCTCTGGTGAATTCTCTCACCCTCCCGCGCTTCTGACTGTACCCAGTGCTTGTATAAATAAATAAATATATCTTAAAAAAAAAAAAAGGCAACTTTGCAGAAAATAGGGGAGTGGGTATGTGTGCTGACAAGCCTAGTGGTTTGAGGGTCTCCGGCTAAAATAGGATTTCCAATTAGCGCCATCACATGAACTGTTGTGTAAATGCTCCAGAACTTGCTTTTCACTTATGATAGAGGGGTCATGCCAGCAATCCCCCTGCTTGGAGTGGGGGGGGTGTACTGTGAAGAGCAAATGGGACAAAGAATCTGGAAGGACATTCTAAACAATATGGCAATACAAATTTACAGTATCACAGTATCATGATTTCCTCTTCCAAAAAATGAGAATAGTATCACAGAACTGCCGAGAGTTGGTATGTAGGTAAACTGTAATCACGTAAGGACTGAAATGCAAACCAGCCTTGATGTTGTCATCCCAATATGAGCTATAGTTATGAGATATAGAGCCTTTCTTTTTATTTATTTATGCATACAAGAACTGGGGTGTAGACTAGAGGTGCGGGTTGGGGGGGGTGTGTGTATGTGAGAGGGTTCACCAGAGACAGCGTGGGGCGCAGAACAGGTGGATCTACCGAACTACAGGGCTAAGGGGAGCAGCGGGCAAGGCAGGAGAGGTCTGCCGCGCCATGTGGGTAGCCCCCTGGCGAGGATGGGGGGATCGAACTCGTGCTGCAGTGACGGGTGATAGCTTCATAGCACTGAGTCTAAAAACCCCTGAGCCACCGCGGAGGCCCGATATAGTGCCTTTCTCTGTCTCTTTCTCTCTGATATTCCTACTGCCTTGGCAGTTTGAAAATGTAACTCATTCTCTCTCGCCTCCCTTCCCCGCCTTTCCCCTCCCCTCCTTCCCTCCCTCTCTCCGAAGGGAAAGAAGGAAGGGAAGGAACTTCTGCGGTCACGCTTAACTCCGGGGAGCCGACCGCCCGACAAGGCAAAGGGTAAAGGCCGAGTCAGGTCCAGCGCCCAAGCCGCAAGTCCCCCCGCCCACAGCGCGGCGGCCGCGGAGCCCAGCGGCGGGCGAGGGCGGGGGTCGCTACGGGGCAGCCCGACGGGCGCCGGCCAATCCGCGCGCGCCCCGCCGGCGGCCAATCAGCGGCCGCCTCTCCCGGCAAATCTGCCCGGCAGTGCGGGGCGGGGCCGCCGGAGTCGGGCGCCGCTGGTTACTCCTCCGAGCGCCTCCAGGTAGCCGCGGGGCGGCCGGTCCGTGCGGGCGCCGGGGAGGGCGGCCGGCAGGCCCGGCGTAGGTGCAGCCAGGTGACACACACGGGAGCACCCATGCGGCTGGCGGGGATGCGGGCGGGCGCTCACGTGTGCGCAGACCCACCGGCTCGTCTCGGCGCTGGGTGGGCACCTGTCGTGAGTGGCTCCGGGCGTGGCTGCTCGTCGGACGTTCAGTTTCTGTAAGATTTACCTAAGGGGCCTACCTTCCCCCGCTCCCGAGGGGCTCGTAGGAAGTTTAACGGAGCCAGGGCTGAGCAGATTAAAGGAGCGGAACAGCAACTGGGCCAGAGGGGGTGGGGTGTGGGGGTGCTGGTGGGTAGGGAGCCAGCTTTTGCCCCGTCTCCCTGGCAGGAAAGGCGTTTGGCAAGACTGGCGTGACAAAGGTGGCCCTGAGGTGTCTGGAGAGCCGGGACAATGATGATCACTGAGTGAGTGGCACTGGGCTGAACCCGGGCCATCTGTTGACTGACAGAAAGGGATGCTAGCAGTTAGAAAGGTGAGGAGGAAACTCAGGATGGGGACCATCTGCTCTCCCAACCCCAGCGGGACAAAGGCATCATCGGAGGTCTGCAATGCCGACTGGATGGCCTCGCTCCCCCCTCACCTCCACAACGTTCCCCTTTCTCATCTGGCAATCCCAGGTATTCTTCTCTTCCTGCTTGTTCCCACTGTGCTGAATTCTGCCATTTTAGTGTTGGTCGTGGGTTGTGTTGCTTTTCTGTTATTGTGTTGAGAAAAATAATTGTTGGTGGCCGTAACTAAACCGCTTTTTATTTCCAAACCAGAAACTTAACACTGAAGCAGCTGCAGTAAAGAGATTTAAGCACACTGCATCACTGGCAAAAAAAAAAAAAAAAAAAAAAAGGAAGGGGGGGGGACTCTAGAGAATAGAAGTGCAGTTTTTTGTTTGTTTGTGTCTTTTTGTTTGTTTTCATTTTAGTCTTATTCTGTCTGCCCCCTTAGTGTTGGGGAGGGCATGCACATGAGGGGTGCATTTACTTGAATCATTTGGAAAAGGAAAGATGAAGCATAATGAAAAAAGTCATTAACAATTTTGGATCTGGATCAAAATTTTAACTATTTCTGTCCTCCTTTATCTCATTGTTCATACTGGAGAAAGAAACAAATAACCAGATTAGCATTAGAGAATAGGTTCAAAATCAAGACTGAATATAAAGATACATTTTTGTTGTTGGAAAGCCAGAAATAGAGAATGCAAGTTCTTGTCACAGGCAGTCATTAGGTGTGATAAGGTGGTGGTGTTGGAAGATTTGTCTATATATACACAGGTGTCTGTCTAACTGATCTAGAACGGCAGCCTTGAAAAGCAGGTCAGGTCTAACCACAGAGTCTTTGCTAAGAGTTTTATACTTTATCGTCACTCTATTATTTGTTCAGTGTGTCCTTTTCTTCCATTCAAAAGCTGATTTAAAGCAAGTTTTCTAGGGAAGGATTTTAAACTGCAGTGATCTTGGCCTAGGGTTCTGGACATAGTCCTCGATGCTGGTTGTTGGAAGGCACTCCTATGACAGGGATGGACCACTCACTGCCAATCCTCTCTCTCACCTGAAGGCATAACAATTTATTTTCACCCCGTGAGCACCAGACAAACCCCCAACCATCCCTGGGAGCAGTCTGCCTTTTTGGTGGCCTACAAAGATGACCTTATGCAACCCCAGATCTCTGCTTTCTCTGCATGAAGAAGAACAGTGCTGGCTTCAGATACAGTTTTTTTCCTTGCTTGCCTCCTCTATTGGACTTCTTCCAGGTTCATTGTCCTCATGGACTCTTTCTGCTTTTGAGCAAGGAGAGGACTGCTAAGTCCCTTTATAGTTGTGATCACTTGTGTTTTATCAGCCATTTTTTACAGCTCCTTGGGAAATGCCAGATGGTCATGTTTCAGAACAGGTCTTTTCCATGTTTAATTGATGCCTGTGGAGTCATCTCCAAAATAATGCACGGGCCTCCTTTAACATTAGTCATTTGTCTTCAGGCTTTCCAATGGAATTGTTTTGTTGTGTCATATGGCAAGTAGTATATGTTTGTAAGCAGAATGGCATCTTAGGCAGGTTCTAAATGACTCTATCATTTAGAGGTAGGTTGGGGCTTCCTCCTTCCTACTTTACTTTGAATATCTCAAACCACAGCAGCAGCTTTGCTCCTGACTTGCCTGTGCACTGTGACTCCAGGGCTCTAGGAAGCAGCTGGTCATTTGTTCTACAATCTATAGGGTATCTCACAATAGGAGCAAACAGCCAAGTGTGCTGCTGTAACTGGAAATTGTATGATTAGCCACTGTGGGGGACACAGGAATTTGTTCACACTGCTTTGTGGAGTCTAGTCCTTCTAAGCAAAAACATAAGCCTTGATTCCGCAAAAGAATTCACCACTGCAAATGCCCCTTTCCCAGAAGTAGAAGGGACATGTGCATATGTATATATAATCTGGAGACAGGAAAATCTCATACTAAGTGCTAGCCATTCAAGGACCCTCCCTTCCACCCAACCCACCACCCCTGCTAGTTGTCTTTCCTGTACCTAAAGCTAGTACTCCCCAGCTAAAAGATCTACCAAGCCTTGCTGAGAAATTCTGAAATACAAAAGGCATTCAAGAAGTAGAGACCACCATCTTCCTCCCCCTCTCTATCACCTTCTTCATGGCAATATTCTTGCCTGAGCATTACCATGCATCATTAGCATATGTTGCATCAAATCCTTACCTCCATGATACATCTTCATTTTGGAAATAAGGAAATTATTGGCCCGAGAGGTTATGTCATTTTCTCGAGATCACACAAATAATAAATAGAAGAACTAATATTTAAGCCCCTGTGTAACTGGTTCCAAAGCCCACGCATTATCCCTTGGAAGTGCAGAGCAGTGTTGATGGGGGTGGTGAAGGTAGTCTCTAACTGAAAGTCAGTTTTCACAGATCATCCTCTGTACCAGCAAATGAAAGAATTTTTAAACTAGGTGGTCTTTATTGATTATATATCACTGTGAGGAGCTATATACATATATGTGTTTGTATATATATTTATTTGTGTGTATGTGTATGTATATGTATCCTTGCTTATAATTATGTAATCATCTGTGTTTAGAATTAGAACCTGGTAAGTTTTAAGTTCAAAATTCGCTTAGAACTCTGTGTGTGTGTGTGTGTGTGTGTGTGTGTGTGTGTCTGCGAGCATGTGTGCACAAGTACTTTTTGCATATGCTAATCTAGAGTATCTATAAGATTGGGTAAGACCTGTCAGGATGGGGATCTTGCAGCAATGCCATGGGAAAAGGCAAGGGTTCTTGCAATAATAGCAGAACTGAAATGGAGTAAAACTATGTCACATTTGAGCACATGTGCTACATTTGCCTAATCGTGATAGCAGGGAACATGTGTGAATGAATGCTCACCTCTCAGAAAAGCCTTGATTTATTATTCTCCTTCCACAACTGTTAAGAACACCTGTAAAAGACCAGTGTCACCCAAACACATTGAAATATCTTGGAGAAGAACCACACAACAGTTTTCATTGCCAACTGTACAGAATTATTAGAAACCCTTAAGCTAAAAAATCTGGAAATTACAAAATTCAGATTTTTTAATTAAAGCTTTGAGCTCTACAAACACCTTCACTGATGAAAAAGCATATTCTTTATGGACAAATGTACTGATTGGGGAAACATTTTTTAATAATTGTACAACTTTTGAATGAATTCTTTTTCTGTATACTTTGGTGCTATTATTTTTTTTTAAACCATGCTCGTTCCTTTTTTTTTTTTTATTATTAAAGGGAAACTATTTGGTCTATTGGAAAGTACGTTGAATTTGATATTGTTGATTCTGGCTGTGAGATACTGAAGAAGTATCTAAATTTCTTGGGACTTAGTTTCCTCATTTGTAATTAAGATGCTGAATTAAATCAATATAGAGGCCTTTTCAGATTAAAAATTCCGTGATTAATTTGAGGGTTTGTTGGTTTACTTTTGTTTTTGCCTGTTCTTTGTCCAAATGTATGAAGAGATGAGAATGAGTCGTTTTAGATATAAAAGCCATTTCTTTATGTCTCTTGAAAATTATTTTTGTCATTTGTGAACAGGGACTCACAATTGCCAGAATGAAGCAAAGTTCACTTACTCTAGCATCCTAAAAGGGAGTAGATTAGTCTTCTAAATGAACAAACCCTGAGTACATCTTAAGAAACCTCTTTGCTGAGTCCTGTGGGAGCTCCAACCATCAGCTGTGTGGTGTGTATGTTTACCTTCACCAACCATAATTTTCAGAAAAACTAGTTGAGGTAAATACTGAAACAGAGATATAAAGAAAGTGTCGTCGAAGCATACAGATTGGAAAGATTAATTCCAGTTTTTAAGATTAGTGACTACTTTGTTGAAAAATGACATTTAACCTGGAATTTGAAGAATGGTATAAATTTCAAAGGGTGTGAGTTGGGGTCAGGATTGGAAATGAGATTTTCCAGGTGGAATAAATGAATCAATGGAGCTAAGGGACTAAAGGATATATTTGGAAAATGCCTCAAAGAATCCCTCAATTTTACTTTGTTGTGTTTATCATAGCACTTCTCAATACATTGTTGTTTTTAGTTGTATGTCCCATGGTCTGTGAACAATTTGCTTACAGATAATGACTTATTTCCCTTTATTATCCAAGATCCTAGTACAGAGTAGCAGCTTTACCTTTGGTGACTGTTGAGTGAATAATTGAACACATGGAAATGAAGAGTGAAAATGCCAGAAAAGTGACTTGCAGCCACTATCATTTCCAATTGTGATCAGTGCTAAACTGATAGATTGGGTAGGTTCACCTTTTGTAAATAACTGTATGAAGCAATTCATTCTCCAATCAAATATTGTCATTTTTATATTATACTCTTGTAGTTCTAGCTAAGGCTCATCACTGAGCCACATTAGAAATGAAAATTCTAACACCGAGTAGAATAAAGCATCAGAAGCAATACTCTGGTATAACTTCTGACGTAGGAACAGTTCATTTTCCCTGCATTCTTTCTGCCTTCCTTCTTTCCCTGTCAAATTCCAGCTTCTCGTGTTTCCTGTCTGGTTATGCCTCAGCCTGGTCTCATTTCGTGTTCCCCTCTTAACCTGTCTCCAGTGACCCGGCTTGCACCCTGATCTCTCCTGCCTGTCTCACTTTCTCCAGTTCCCAGATGATTCTCTGTTCTCAACTTGCTTCAGATTACTCCCTTTTCATCCTCACCTTTCTGGAATCCTGTCCTTTGCTTATATAGTGCTGCCTTTCACCACTGGAGATTTGTAGAGCTCTTCTCCTGTGACCCACACTCACTTCCCACTTGTATGACGTGGAGGCAAACTCAAGTCTGGTGTACCTAAAAGAGATTGATGGGGTGACCACCCAGGAAAGGTACAAAGTACATTGTAGAGCAAGATGACTAGGTTGGTTCACTTCAGGAGCCATGAGTTCACTCTAGAGCAGTTCCATCTTCCTCTGGAAGTTGGGGCTGTGTAAAACCAAGAATCAAGTGAATCTACTAGGCAGATCCAGTAAAGAAAAAAAAAATCATCTGGGACCAAAATGGTCTCTTAAGTGGCAACAGTGTTTTTCAGTGGTTGTTTTTCATTTTTTCTCTGGGTAGTCATGGTATAGAATA